ATTAAGAGGGTAGAACCTTTCTAGAAGATGAAGGCAAAGTGGCAATGGAGTGCCACAGTATGAGTCCTAAGGTGTCAATCCCTCTAAAAAGAATGTGCAGTGGGTAACTCAAAAAAAATGAAGGAAACATTGAACGTGTAAGTGAAAAGGACCAGTGCAGCATTGGGCTGATGATACTAAAAAAATAACCAGTAGAGTACTTGTTTAGGTATGGGACTAACATAGGAAAAATCTAGTTCGAGAGGTAAAAAATAAAGTTGACGTGCAAAAGGGCATGCAGTCCAAGTGCAGCATCTCCTTGGCAAAGAGGCCATTGCTAGAATGAGTGAAAAAAATGTCACAATCTGTGAGAAAGACTAAGCCTAATAGTTCTCACTAAGACATGGAGTAATTTTAAAGCAACTAGGACCAAGTCAAAAAGCAAAGGAGACTAGGCCTAGAGGTATAATGAAGGTCATAGGGGCATGACCATGATCGAAAATGGGTGCACGAGTGCTAAAACGAGCATAAAAAGCTCAAGCCAGGAGATTTGGTTTGGTAACTTTCAGATAGACTCAAGTATGGGCACAGGAAGCCTAGGTAGGTAGAATCGAACTACGCACGAACCTAAAGAGAGGCCTCATGTGAGCATTGCTAAAGAAAGAGTCTAAACTGGTTTAAATTCTTTTATGATAGAGTCCATGTAAAATTAAAACTCTTTAGTTGTAATCCTTTGTAATGTCCTGTATATGTTGGACTCTTTATGAGCCCTAAGATAGGAATTATCTCAGCCATTGATTTAAGAGGGCTTTAGCTATAAATAAGAGATGCCTTCACCCTCATTGTACACATACCACAACTTGAGTAATTCAAGTTTACTCTTGCCTATCTCTATTATTCTATTTGGCTTTCTATCAAATAGTTTATGTACAGCCTCGTCTAGCAACAAATTAGGGCTGTTGACCCTGGTGGTTCGACTGTCCATGCATTATGCATTAGTGAAAATTAAAGTGCTCTTATCCTAGGTAAGGCTAATAACTGATAACATCATAGTGATATATGAACTATTGCATGCTATAAGGTTTAAGAAAAAGGGAAATGAGGGATGGGTGCTTTTAAAATTGGATATGAGTAAAGCATATGATAAAGTTGAGTAGGAATTTCTTAAAGCAATTATGGAGAGGTTAGGTTTTAGTGTAAGATGGATATCTCTTATTATGAAGTGTGTGAGATTTATCAGGTATAATGTGATTATCAAAGAAATTGTAACTGACATGATATATCTAAAAAGAGGGCTTCGATAGGGAGATCCCTTTGTCATTATGTTTGTTCTTAATTTACATAGAAGGTTTCTTAGCTTTTTTATTGAAGGTTTAATGTGAAAGCTCATTCAATAGAGTATGAGCTAATGTGAATAGGCTCAAGATCATTCACCTCTTTTTCTCGAAGACAGTTTTCTATTCATAAAAGCATACCAGATAGATTACGAAAGGGTGAGATACTTACTAAAGGTTTATGAGGAAAGATTCGAGCAAAAAATTAACTACGATAAAACCAAGTTATTTTTCAACAAAAACATTACCAAAGACAAGTAGGAGATGGTGAAGAATCTTTTTGGAATCCAAATCACACATAGTCCAGAAAAATATTTAGGCCTAGCTACTAATGATCATTAGAAAAAGGAAAAAGAGAGCGCTTTAAGGTATGGCAAATAAAATGCAGCAATGGGTGCAATGTTGGAGCCAAAAGTTTTTGTTTGATGGTTGTAAAGAAGCTTTTGTTAAAGCCATATTACAAGTAATGTATTTTTGTGCATAGTTATGTTTCATGTTCCCAAGGAGACTAAACTAAGAATTCAATAGTATAATGAGTAAGTTTTAGTAAAATCGTGAAGAAGAAATAAAAAGAATACATTAGATCTTATAGAGAAAACTCCATAGGGGTAAAGGGGACGATGGAATGGGCTTTAGAAAGACGAAATTTTTCAATAAAGCATTATTAGCAAAGTAGGGGTGGTGCTTATTACTTTAGTCTATTTCTTTTTACATTAATTATAGACGAGCTTATTGGACGTATCCAAGATAAGGTACCATAATGTATGCTATATGCCAATGATATAGTCTTAGTTGCTAAAACTAGTGATGATCTTAATGCAAAATTAGAATTATGGAGAAGTACATTGGAGTTTTAAGGTTTTAAATTGAGTATATCTAAAACTAAATATATGAAATACAAGTTTAATACATAAAAAAATGGGTACTAATGTGATTAAGTTGGATGATGAGGTAGTACTAAAGAATAGTCAGTTTTAATTTTTCGGATCAATTATTTAGAGTGATATTGAGATAGAAGCGGATGTTAAGAATAAGATTCAAATAGAATGAACGAGATGGTGAAATGTGTTGGGTGTGTTGCGTGATCGTAAAATGTCTTTAAAGTTAAAAACAAAGTTATATAAAACAATTATAAAGCTTGTATTGCTATACGAAATTAAGTGTTAGGCTGTTAAGAAGTAACATGAGAAGAAAATAAACGTAACAGAGATGAGGATGTTTAGATGGATGCATGGTAAGACTAGAAAAGACAAAATCAGAAAAGAAAAGATTTGAGAAAAATTAAGGGTGGTCCGAATTGAGAAGAATATGAAAGAGAGCAATTTGTGATGGTTTGAAAATGTAAAATGTAGGCCTAGCTATACACCGATTAGAAGAATTGAGTATCTAGATCTATGAGAGATTAAAGCCTCTAGAGGTAGACTATAAAAAACATGGAAGCAAAGAAAATAAAAATGATATGATGGTTAAGAAATTAGATGAAAATGTTGTTATTGATAGAAATGGGTGGCGCAAGAAAATTCAAACTATAGCCTAACATGATTTCTTTATTTAGTCTTTTATACAACTAATCTCAGAATATGTGATATAAGACTTAGTGTGTTGTTGTTGTTGTTGTAGGGGTGGTGCTTATTATAAAATAATTCATCATTAGCATATAAGGTGTTGAAAGGAAAATACTTTTTTACAACTTCATTTTTTTAGGCTGGTATAGGTTGGTCCCCATCATTCATTTGGCATAGAATCTGCAGAGGACGAGAAGTTTTGCAACTAGGAGTTAGATGAAGGGTAAAAAGTGAGAAGATAAATGTTTAAAAAAACCCATGGATACCAATAGGAGATAGCTTTGTCCCAACCCCAAAGATAATGTGGTACCCACGAAAATTAAAGTCAATGATCTAATTAGTGTGACAACTAAAAGTGAGAATTAATGAGACTAGAAAGCTTATTTACTAGTGATATTGTAGCAGCTATTATGGTGATGCCACTATGTAGCACGAGAGGTTAAGATGTATAAATATGGCATTACAAAAAAGATTGTAAGTATAGTGTCAAGAGTGGATACAAAACTACTTGTTTATGAAAACTTTTAGAAATATGAGAACCAGTTGTCAAAAACGGTGGGGAGAATGTAGGAGTAAGGCAAACGTGAAAGGGGATATGGATGATAAATTTTCCAAATAAGATTAAGGTTTTTGTATGGCAGATGTGCCACGAGATTTTTCCTGTATATACAAACTTGATGAGATGAAGGATTACGGAGGCAGATACTTGTCCAAGAGGTTGCCATAATGAAGAGACGATAATGCATGCCATAGTAGAGTGCCTGTATGCAGTAAAGGTGTGAAAGGAAGCAAAAATGGACATGGAAAAGGAAGGACAACAATGGTAAAATATCAACTACTGGTTGAGCATGACGTTAGTAGGGGTGGAACATGAAATGGTAAAAAAGGTGTTCACCTTAGCCTAGGCCATTTGAGTAAGTAGAAACAATGCAATTATAAATGAAATATTGAGAAACTATCAGGACACTGCAAAGTTTGCAAATAATTATCTAGAATAATGTAAACGAGCTCAACTAAGGAAGGGTGAATAGGTACCTAACCAATAAAGTAGGTGAAAGGCACCTCTAGTGAATAATATCAAGCTTAACTTCAATTAAGCTTTGGACTCAATTGAAAGGAACGGAGGGATACGGGTGGTGGCTAGAAATTATAAGGGAAAAGTGGTGGGGGCATATGCAAAGATGGCTTTAAAGACATAATGGGACAGCTCAATGGAAAGATGATTGTCCATAAAATTTATATGTATTTGTTGAAAATGACAAGATTGGTATTTGAGTAATGAAGATTCTATATTTTACTTTAAAAAAAAGTTTAACATATATATAAATATTATAATAACTAAAATTAAACTAATAAATATCCAATTGTAATTTTTTTTCAACAAAACTTTTTTTGTATTATATTCTTTATATATTTAAATTGTTACATGCCAATATTTAAATATTACAACTCTTTAATTTGAGTTTATTTATTATAAATGATTATCAATTTAAAATGAATAAATTTGCTATCTCTTTGTCTAAAAAACATATAAATTTAAATTTAACATATACACGAGTATTATAACAACTAAAATCAAATTAATAAATATCAATATTTTTCTTTTTTATTTGACCAAACTTTTTTCATATTATATTCTTCATGTTTTTATTTTATTTTATTTTAAATTATTACATGCCAAACTAATATTACATGCTTAATATATTCATTTTATTATACATATATATACATATTAACATATTTATAATTATAAGTTTTATTTTTATATGTGGTATCTAAATTTTTTTCAATTATTAGTAGATTTGATATGTTTTGATAAAAATAAAAATAATTTATTACATAAAAATATTATTTCATGTGATTATTTGATAACATTGACTTTTTTAAAGATAAATAATTTTTAAATAAAATTTATAATGAAATAATTAACGGATGAGTAAGAAAAATATCTAATTATCTTGTGAAATTGAAGAGTTTGAGACAAATTATCTATTTTTTAAATTAATGAATTTTAATTAAATCATGCTCGCAAAATGATGAATCAAAGGCTTCCTGCACACGCCGACAGAAAATAAAATTAAAAACTATCAAAATACATTGGAAAAAAATTGAAATAGAAAAAATAGAGTCGTCCTTTTAGGTTTCAAACACTTTTGACTACGCTTTTCTCTTTTCTTGCTGCTCCTTTCCCTTTAGGAGACAGAACACTGACTGAAAATTAAAAGGTTTGAAAGAAAAAACCTACGCTGCTTTTTTTATGCAAAAAAGAAAAAAAAAACCTACACTTAAAAAGAAATAATAGTAATACCCTGCCTTCATTTGGTAACCCTTTTAACTAATACGGGGTTTTTACACGTGGACACTGTTTGGTTTGTGGGTGAAATTTCTCTTTGCAGATTGTTTTGAGAAGGCGAAATCCCGAAGAAATTGAGTTTGTTGAAGCATCAGATATGGTGGGTTTCCCCTTTGAACTCCCAAGTGTTTTTGTTCCTTTCAAATTTTAAACATACAACTTTGGATAGTTAGGGTTTAAGGTTTTTTTTGTTTTTTTTTTGTTTCTGCCTTGCCTTGTTATTTAGAAACAGTGGATAACACCCTTTCTTTCCCTTACATTTTCAAAAGAAAAGGAGGTTTCTTCCCCCAATTTTTTGTTCTCCAGCAAGAATCAAGTAGGATTTAGGGTTTATATGTGAAATGCGATATTATTTAATTATATTGGGAATGAGGGTTTATATGCAAAATGTGATATATTTAATTTTTTTGCATACTTTTTCTGTTTTATTTATTTTTGACAATGGACTTTGCTTCGGTATTCATGGTCAGTCGGATATTAGGAAGTGGTTTATGAAAGCGCACGATAAAGGCAAAGGCAATGGCAATGGCAGTGCCTCAAAGCCAGAAAATGCGGCGCCAACTAATACAGAGCCTGTGAGTATATCTTTTTTGGTCCTTTTTATGTGTATTTTTATTTCTTCCAGTATAAGAATTAGGCATGATTGTTTTTTTTCTTAGAATTTTGATTACAGTGTTCAAAATTGATTGAATTCCATGTATTTCCATCTGGTGATTCTGTTTTGGTTGTTTCATAATTCTGGGATGAATTACTGCTACTCATTGTTTGGTTGCTGAGAGTAAGAGTACACTGAAAGAAGAGGAATATCATTTGATGGTATTCTTGTTCCATAAGGCCCAGTTGAGAGCTTATTTCTTATTTTGTTTCCTGAATTAGAACTTTTACAACCAATTTTAATAAATGATATATAAAGAAAAGCAAAACAAAAGGAGCTTCAAGTGATATGTTTTCCCTGGCTTCATAAGCAACCAACCAAAACTGCAGCTTTGGTTTACCATTTTAATATGAAAATAAGCATTTTCATTACCAACATGAAGATGCTATGTGTCACATGAGATAAGCTTTATTCTTTTCAAGGAGCAAGAACAGGGAGGGGTTTGCATGAGTAAGCGAAGGCCCCCTATAGGGCCAGCCAAAATTCTAATGTTTGGCTCAATATATACATAATGGGCTGGCTGCATATTAACTCTAGTACTTAGAGGAAAATGAAATCGAAGAAAGCATAAATGAGCTGATATGAAGCTCTCTATTTCTACGTTCTTGGCCCAATATTATCATGAAGATGTCTGTGTAGCTTAGTCTTAAATGATTATTTATTTATATTCTTTTTTTTTGTTGCAATTAATCAAGGTACCTGGAGGCCAAGAAAATTCTGGCAGAAGAAAAACTAGCAAATATTTTCCTGCAGAAAAACAAAAGGCAAAGGTTGAACAGGGAACAGCTGAACTTCCAGCTAAGAGAAAAGCTCAAAATGACAGTATTGAAAAACCCTCACCTTTGAAGAAACCAAGCAGAGCTGATGTTGATGATGACTTTGTTCTGCCCAAATCTAAGAACTCTGTGGATGTTACTCGGAGTAAGAAACTGAAGAGTGTTTCTGGCAGGGCTGTTGCACAAAAAGCTGTAGATGTTTATGACAGTGATGAAGATGATGCTAAAGATTTGGAGTCTCCTGTAAAGTCTGGTGGAAGGGGTCGTGGTGGCAGGGGTGCATCAGTGGGACCAGCTAGCGGACGAGGCAGAGGTGGTGGACGAGGTGGATTTATGAATTTTGGAGAAAGGAAAGATCCTCCTCATAAAGGAGAGAAGGTGAAGATATAAAAGAAATGTATGATTTAATCATTATTGGTGGTGTATTAATCTTGGTTAACGCAGAATTTCTGTCATTCAGGATGTCCCTGAAGGTGCTCCTGATTGCTTAGCTGGTCTAACTTTTGTAATTAGTGGAACACTTGACAGGTATCTTATATGTTATTAATATGGATATGTGTATGCTTATTCCACTTGCTCTCATATGTAAAACTATTCTCAATGCACATTCTTCTCTTCATCATGGAGCAATAAACCATCTTTTTCTAGGAAGATTTTTATTATTATACTGCTTGTGGTTATTATTTTATGTTTTTATATATTTTTTTATGGATGATTTTCCTTGATGGTATTGGTCCTTCATGCTATCACAGTCATTGAACTTTGACCTTACAGTTTAGAAAGAGAGGAAGCTGAGGACTTGATCAAACGCTTTGGTGGTCGTGTTACTGGATCTGTCAGCAAAAAAACGGTTATTCCATAATTCTATCTGACAATAGCTTCACTTCTGCCCAATTTTGGAAATTAACATTGTCCATTTGCAGAATTATCTTTTATGTGATGAAGATATTGGAGGTCGAAAGTCCTCTAAAGCCAAAGAGCTTGGGTTTGTTATCTCCCTCATTGGAAAATTTTAGTTTTGAGTTTTTTATGCCTTGTTACTTTTGTTTATGTGTGGTTTCTCTTTCTTATTGTAGCACTACTTTTCTTACTGAGGATGGATTGTTTGACATGATCCGTGCATCAAATCATGGAAAATCTCATTCGAAAGAAGAGTCAAAAAAATCTGCTGTCAACATTGCTACTTCTCCACCTAAGAAGAGCCCCCAGAAAGTGGAAGTGAAGAGTATGCCCCAAATGTCTATGCGCTTTTAGATTTGGTGCATCTTTTTTGTGGTCAACTACATATAGCAGTATATGTATTTGTTGTAGTATGGCTATTACTTACATGAAGCGAGATGGTGAATTTTGACTACTTTTACTTGGCAAAAGACTTTTATTCTTGCCAGGGCATGACTATTACTTACAAGAAGCGAGATGGGGAATTTTGACTGCTTTTACTTGCCAAATGACTTTTATTCTTGTCAGCGTAAACTTGGGATGAGATGAATTGTCACGGTTAATTATTTTATCATGTGTAAAATATATTTTAGAGGTTATGACTGGTGGTTTGATTGTGGGTGTGAAATATGGAGTTTGGCATTTGCTATCCGTATAAATTTGCCCTTTTTGTACCTGTCCATTTGTTTACTACTATGGCTCAGGCTTGATGCCAAAGAATCCACCTTTCTTTTGTTGCAACCCTTGTCCTTGAGTTTTAATATTAGATAATATTCTCATTTTATTTTATATACTTGTATTCTGTGCTGTAATATAATGGATTCTGGAATGTAGGCCTTCTTGTTCCTTTTCATACTTTCCATCCATTAAGTCTTAGCAGAATAAGATCTTTTAGAGTATTGACACAGGAAAATTAAAACATGCCAAACTGCAACTAGATTAGAAGGACATATGACTATTTGCTGACATAAGTTGATAAACTAGTTTTTCTATTTTATCATGATTGTGAAGCACTTATTAGAAGTTGATGTTCCTTGTGTTTGGTTAAAATCCTTTGACATGAAAGTTTTGAAGACAGATAGAGAATCTAGGGAATGGAAGAAAAAACATTTATCAAGTAGTTAACAAGTGTAGAGTGAGTTGTAATGCTATTTTTTGATAGCTGCTTATGTAAACTAGCTGATTCTTTAGATGAGCTCTGATGCACATTAGCATTTTGAGTTACATAAATGGCGTTGAAGACAATTGACTTTGAATCTGGAGTTTTTACTTTCTGGTGCATTTTCTGAGCTTTTACTTTCATTGTTAATATTGCATGCCTGCTCCTAAATGGCAGTGGTTTCTCTACTGTGGTCATACTGTCGCTTTCTGCTCTTCTGGTATCCATAGTTAAGCCAATCTATCTATTATATCCTTTTTTCTTGTTTCTTTCAAATTGAATATGAATGTTTGGCCACTGTTGTATATAGCTAGATTTATATTCAATTAGTCCATGATACTAATATATTGCCGACCATTTTTGTCCTATGTATTTCTCTCTTTGAATTGCGTATATAGTTGCATTTGTATGGATGGACTTTGAATGCCATTAATTTTAGTCCCATTTTCGTCAACTTATCTTGCATATTCCATTGGCAATTCTTCATCTCAGAGTTATCCAAAAGTCCAAGCAAAAGTGTCTCATCTGCAAAGCAGAGAGGGCAACCAATCCAGCATTCTTCTCTGACATGGACTGAAAAATATAGGCCAAAAGTTCCAAATGAAATCACTGGGAATCAATCATTGGTATGAGTGTCTACCCTATCATCCTTTATTATCATACATTTTTACATTAGTTTCTCTCTTCAGAAGACTAGTAGCTATGTTGCTTTTTTTTCCTAAAGTACTCCTGGTGTAGACATATATGATGCCTCAAAGTGGCCATTGCCACAGGGTCTTGACCTCCAAATGAGTAAAAACTTTCAAAAAAAATTGAATGCATCCCTGTTGCACACAAACCCATGTCCAAGAGTACCGAGTCTGAGCAATATATACTAGAAGCTTTCTCATTATAATCTCTTTCTGTCATGGCTGCAGGTTAACCAGCTCCATAATTGGTTGGCACATTGGAACGAGCAATTTCTTGGTACTGGAAGTAAGGGAAAGGGTAAAAAGCAAAATGATACTGGTGCCAAAAAGGCTATTCTATTAAGTGGAACACCTGGAATTGGGAAAACTACATCAGCAAAGTTGGTTAGTCAGATGCTAGGTTTCCAGACCATTGAGGTGGAGTTTATTTTACCTAAAGCAATCTTGATTATGAGTTTAAATTCAGATTACCCTGCAGAAAACTATATGCCTGTTCTTGATGTGTATCCTGTATAGGTAAATGCTAGTGACAGTCGTGGAAAGGCTGATGCCAGTATTTCTAAAGGAATTGGTGGAAGCAATGCAAATTCAATAAAGGAACTAGTTAGCAATGAAGCCTTGAGTGTTAATATGGATCGGTTTGTTTTTGTTCTTATGGAATCTTGGATCATTGCGTAGGCAATTTATAAATTTTTTATATATTTTCTCTCTCAAGTTAAATTTTTTCATGGAAATTGCAGTTCAAAACATCCAAAGACTGTCCTGATTATGGATGAGGTGGATGGCATGTCTGCTGGTGATAGAGGTGGAATAGCTGATCTTATTGCCAGCATAAAGATTTCCAAAATCCCAATCATTTGCATTTGTAATGACCGCTACAGTCAGAAACTGAAGAGTCTTGTAAACTACTGCTTACTTCTTAGTTTCCGTAAACCTACCAAACAGCAGGTAATCTTTATTATTTCTTTTAGTTTTTCCTTTTGGAGTTTTCATAGTTGTTTCCTTTAACTTCTGCCTATCTTGTGATTGGACTCAAATCAATTTACTTACTATAATGTGGCTTTTATTGTCCTATTTCTTGTACTTGCTGTTGTCTTGCCTTTTCTGTCATGCAGTAACATGTGAATAATCAATTGAAAAACTTTCATGTCTTTATATTTTCTGCTGACACTTGTATTTGTTCTCTTGCACCCTTGAACGAATCAAGATACAACAACAAGAAGAAGCAGCAAGAGCAAAACCTCTACTCACTGCATAGATTAGCCACAAAGCCTTTCTCTGATCAAGATATTTCAGTAAAACTTTTAAAAGTGTGGGGTGTTTTTGCATCCAACCTTTCAGATTTTTTCCTGACTTTACTAGTTGATTTGAGCTTGTTAGAATCTCGAATCTAGCAAATGAAGAAGTTTTATTCAGGGATGTACAGTTTTTGTAGGGCCAGTATGTACCATTTTTTTACTAAAACAAGTACAATCAAGCCTATGTTTTATCTTGCTTTCAGCATTGGACTGTGCAAGTGATTTCAGCTTTGCTGGTTCATTTTTGGCAACAATGGCTGAAATCTTGTGCCTGCCAATACCAAAATTCTTATAATGATACTGAATCATGGATTCAACCCTAGCTCTAAACAAAGTCTTCATTCTTACAAGTCACAGCTTTGCTGGATCAAAGAGTCAAATACCTGCTATCATTGAAGCTAAATAGTAAATGTTCTGATTTTTATCTTGGACTTTGAAGTGCCTGGATTTCTAATTTGATGAAGAATTGGAGTACAAGGAATGTATTATGTGAAGCCTTGCTCTAAAGATCTATCACCAGCTTCAAGCTTTGAGTAGCCATGACTCCAATAACCCTCTTCTTTTTTGGTTTTTTGGAATGCTCCAATCACCGTCTTCTCTGGAATTAACACAGAAAAAGAGACCCATGCTTCACTCAAGAGAGATACAGAGATGGATTGGGTTGATGTTAATGTTTAATGATGTTCAGCATTCAATGAATTAATTATGAAATCTCATATGTTTGTGTTTGTCTGTGATACAAATGAAATGCAAATCATTCTGTTTTAAAGAAGATACTTGAACCATAATTTGGTTTTGCTGCTGTATGTGTTATTTTTAGTTTCATGGAAGCTTCAGATTATGGTACCTATTGACATATGAAGAGTTCAAATATAATACATAGGAAATGCAATTTGATCAAACTTTACTGTTATTCATGTGGATTAACTTAAATAGTTTCTGCTTATTAACTACTGTTTTAGTGCAATTATTGTTGTTGAGTCCTACGATCTGTTAAATGAAGATAAGTCTCAATTACTTAAATGTTTGTGCATTTGTATCCCTATATGGATATGGGCATGGATTTGTGACAACAAATAATATATTTGTAGTGCAATTTTGTCTATTGAAACTCTACCACCCTGCAAAAAAAGAATGAAAAATAAAATAAATAAATAAATAATTAATGCAGTTAGTATGACGTTCCATTTCTACCTATCTCTGTCTTGCTTCTTTTTGCAATTGGGGGCGTGGGGGTTGGGTTCTCTCTTCTGAGAAAAATATCATCATGCTAGTTTCTAACTCTGAATTTTGTGCATGGCAGATGGCCAAGAGGTTAATGCAAGTTGCAAATGCAGAAGGCCTTCAAGTTAATGAGGTAAAAGTCACATGGAGGGTATTGCTGTTCCGTGGCTGTACATGTTCTTTTCACTATTGCTCTTCTGAATGGTTTATATTATGCTTCAGTCATGATTTAGTAATGGATTTTCTTGATTCTTACTTATTAAACACCGAACACCTTGTTTCTCTCTCTCTCACTTCTCCTTTTTTTTGGGTGGTGAGGTCATTTGTCATCTATTAAGTTTTTGGAAAAAGTGTAAGCTAATTGAATGGAAGGTTGTCTTTTTCTCTCTCTCTTTTTTTTTTTTTTTGTAAGTTGGATCAATTTACTTTTTGAAGCTCAACAGGTTTTTTCTTTTTCCTTTTTGTAACCTTCAGTAGTCACTTTTAGGCATAAGCTGCAGATATTTTTCTTATGATTAGTCTTTTGTTAGTGTCACTAAAATCTTTTCTGGTTTTCCCTCCCCCTCTATCCTCCCCCCAATTTTTAAAAAAATATTTTCCAGATTGCTCTTGAGGAACTTGCAGAAAGAGTGAATGGAGATATGCGAATGGCCCTGAATCAACTGCAGTACATGAGTCTGTCCACGTCAGTCATTAAGTATGATGACATAAGGCAACGTCTCCTTACCAGTTCCAAGGATGAAGATATTTCACCCTTCACGGCTGTTGATAAGTATGACTTCAGAGATTATAACTTTTGCTGAATGTTGCTGTTTTATTGATGTTTCCTGCTGATGCTTCTCTTTGTGTTTTTTTTTTCTAAAATATTTATAATAAACTTTAGGCTCTTCTAGTTATTATTTCTCTCTCTCTCTCTCTCTTATTGTTTGACAATGTGGGGGAATGAGATGCTTTTTTTTTTTTTAAGATGTTTCTAAGTCATGGATCAAGCACATCCTATTTCTTAGATAGTTTTTCTCTTAATATTTCTCACCCTTTTCATTTTCAATAACTCAATGGTTTAGATAAGAACAAATTCCAGTTTTCTAGGTCAAAAAATTCTTTCACAAAATAACCCATCTTTTTGTGTTTTATTGGTTTGGTGATGTTAAGTATAGAATTTTGGTTCCTCACAACTATGTCTCCATTAGGTTGTATGTTATTGGCACAAGCAATATTTGTTGTTGAAAAGAATTTTGATTCAATCTAATTGATCTTTTTTCTTTTCAATTGGAAAGTTCCTAATAATGAGGCATTTACAAATGTTCAATTACGCTTGCAGACTTAATGGATTTTGCCTCTCTTGAAGCCTATGGTAATCAATATGTTTCAGTTACTAACATCTTTCTCCCTTCCCATGGCCCCCATTTGAATTGTTGTCATTTTAGGCTGTTTGGCTTTAATGGAGGAAAGTTGAGAATGGATGAACGAATTGACCTGAGCATGAGTGATCCTGATCTAGTTCCACTTCTTGTTCAGGTTATTCTTTTTCTTGCTTCTCTTCCTGGATATGATTGCAATTATTGAATTATGAAAGATTTTTAGATTCTTTCGAGAAGTCTCAAATCCATTATGTATATGATTTTTGGACTCTCCAGAAGAATGAAAAAACATAGAAAACTTTAATTCTTGTGTTGTACACTGCCCTATTTTCATGGAATGTAGCCCCATTGGTTTATTATTTCTAATGCTGAAGTATTTCTTAGAACTTTGAAGACTATGATATAATATCTGGAAGATGGTAATAAATCAAAGTAGGAAAATTTGTCTGGAAATGTTCCTATTCATTTTTTCCTCTTTGTTGTTTTGGGTTCAGTAGGTGGGCTTTGCTCCAACTATAATTACCACCTCAATACCAAAATGGTCCTCGTAAAGGCAGTGCCTTTCCTGGGTCCTAGGATTACCTACTGAGGACATTATGCTCATTTTAGTTGGTGTCCTTCCAAAAATGCTTTCCAACTTATGAATAATGTTTGGGCTAGTGAGAATTCCTTTGCATTTTGTGGACTCTGTTGCTAAGTCATCCGAATGTCTGGAGAATACAAGTCCTTAGCTTGAAAGTTGCATACTGTAGTCTTTCTGTTTGTCTCTACTGTGAATGTACGTTTTAGGTTTTACAAATGCAGTTGCATTCTTTTGCCTGCACTTGTTTGATTAATTTTTCTATTTTTTGTTTTGCCTAAAATATCATCTTATTTTCTCAGATACTTGCATATTTCATGGGACAAAGTTACCTGTAGCACATGTCACAACTAATTGTCTATCGTTGTTTGAGGTGTGACTAGGTTTTTATCATATGGCAGGAAAATTATATCAATTATAGGCCGAGTTCAATTGGTAAAGATGACAGTGGGATGAAAAGAATGAAATCGATTGCCCGAGCTGCTGAGTCTATTGGTGATGGTGATATAATCAATGTTCAGATTCGAAGATATCGGCAGTGGCAGCTCTCACAAACTGCTTCCCTTTCATCGTGTATCATTCCGTATGTGTTTAATTTTTCAGGCTTTAAACTATCAAGAGTCTTCAAAATATTTTCTTTTTGCACTGAGTGATATTTTCCAATATTGTTGTGTTTCATCAGTGCTGCCTTATTACATGGACAAAGGGAGACACTTGAACAGGTAATGAGTGTTATGATGAAGCTTCTTGATATTAATTATGACTTCTTCATGCACTGCCATCATTGTTTCTGTCTTAACATAATCTTTTTGTTTAAAAAAAAAGGTTAAAATAAACTTCTTACAATATGCTTCTGCAAGGTTGACAAATACCATATGGAAGGTGCTTTAGCCTTTAAATTCCATGCATACATCATTTTTCAATCCAAAATATTGAAGCCTTCTATATCCTTTGTCTGATCATTGCTAGCTCGGTCTTTATCCTTCTATGATTGATATGGTTATAAGGTTTCTTCTCGTTCCCCTACTACAACTCACTAGCTTGATTCTGCCTCACAAAAATGTTGAATAAGCCTTCCAACCTTGGCAGATTATTTAATTAACTCCTTGTGTTTCATTGAGTTCAATCTGATCCACCTACTATTATTTTTGTTGGAATGAGTGAATTCTTTAACGTAGTGATTATGAATTTATGACTCGTGCCACTGCCTCTATCTTCTCAGTGAGTGTGTGGTTGTTCTCTTCACAGCATAACCATCAATTTCTCAATCACAGTTGCTTAGAAACCATCTTACAGAACAACCTAAACTGCCACTGATACCCTTGAAACCTACAACCAAAACCAAACTACATTTTTTTTACATCTACTCCTACCCTGGCTCAAAAACAAAAGCCAATCCCAAAAGAATGTTACATCGGAATTGCTCTAATATAGCTCAATGTGCTCTGGAACACAACCTAGTGGAAAAATCAAGACAATTAAGAAGGGAAATAGTTACTTCCAAAACTGTAATGCCCATCTTAAATTCCAGTTAATCACAATTAAGAGAATTGATTAAAGGACACAAATCGAGCATCATGTAAGGCAATATGCTTCTGCCTTGGGGAGAGCTAGAGTCTCAACTCTCAAGTTTGAAAAAAGGGGGGATTGAGCAGAGATAGGGGATGACAGAACAGTCATGAAATGAGAAAGACACAAGAAAATGTTATTTTGGCCACTCTGCTTTGGTGGCTTCTTTTAGCTTTTAATTTCACCTTTGCCACTTGTCTTCATGGACCTGCATATAGTAAGCAGTGTTTGATGCATTAAAATTCAAAGAAGTTGCTAACACATGCATTTACAAAATTGCCTTTATTGGGATGAAAAGTTTGAAGCTTAACTTTTTGCACTTGCAGTTTCTTGAAAATGAAGATATCATGTTAAAATTTAGATATGTCCTAATATTGGAGGCTGGCTTCTTATCCACAGGGAGAACGGAATTTTAATAGATTTGGTGGGTGGCTAGGAAAGAATTCAACTATGAGCAAAAATTATAGGCTGTTGGAGGATTTTCATGTTCATGTTCTTGCTTCTCGTGAATCTAGTTCTGGAAGGTAATTCTTAGATCTGTTTTATAACTTTCTGTCATAATGTGTTTTTAACAATGTCAGGTTATGGGTGTGTAGCAGATGCATGCTTCAAAACATGCTAGCATTATTTAGATTTCATTATTCATATTCCCCATTGATGTCCATGACTTGATCTTTGATAAATGATAAACTATTAAAATGCTTGAGTTGTCTGTAGTGATTTGTTTTTCTTATCTCATCATTTGTTGCATTCACATAGGCAAGTTTGACAGATAAACTACTGAATCGGAGAACAAAATATTGAAGTCTGACTAGGTGTACTTTCCGATGCCGCTGTTGACATGCTAACTTGATGATTAAGCAGCTGTGATAAAAACCAACATTACATACTCATTTTACGAAATGCCTTGCATAATCTAATTGTGCCAATAATTTAAAGGAAATAATGCCGATTGACATTATTTTTATCAAAATTTTTGCTCTAAGATCTGTTTTGTGGCAAGTTTGATTAATTTATGGGCATTTGCTATCAATATTTGAAGTCTTAAAGTGTCGAGAGAGATGGAAAGTGAGAAATTAACAGCTCACTTTGCATTCATTTGCATTTTTTCCATGCTTGTATATGTGAATGCTCATGTCTATACATATAGATTGTTGCATGCTTGTGTCACAGCCACAGCCTTCATAAAAATTATACCATTCATTGAGAAGAACCAACATAGGAGGATAGCTAAAGAAGGGGACAGCTTGCCCTAGCTGTCATGGTATTTTTATTATTTCCTTAAATACAACATGGTCTTATTTCATCTGAGTTGCATTTCAATTACCTCATCTCATTATATATATATATATATATATATATAACCATTGTAAGTTGCATAATAATCTTGTGTTGTAAATGATACAGAGAGACCCTTCGACTTGACTATCTTACAGCTCTTCTGAAAAGATTGACTAATCCTCTTCGAGACAAGCCTAAGGTTTGAAACTTGCGTTTTTCATCTGTTATGTATTTAACATGTAAGCATTTTGTAACCCTAGTCCCTAGGCTGGCCATAGGTGCTGTTACAAGTTATGGTTCCCATAAAATGTCCCCATATCAGAGTGAGGTCTATTCATTTATTTGTTTTTTGTACTGTGCTGAAGCAACTAGAGATGTAATACTAGGTGTTTGACCAGTGGTTCTATCACCTAATTTATTTCATGCCTCTAGTTTGAGCAGCCATTAAACTAATGTTATTTTCACTTTGCCTTTCTTAATTATATAAAAACAACTCATCAGCTCTTTGTTTTCTAGTGGTTTTTATTTCTTTAAAGGAAAGAGGAGAAAATTCTTCCCATGCTTATGTTATTCTTGTCCACCCTTTCTCCCCACCTACCTATTTCATTGGCTCCTTTTTTGTTGGATTTGTGCGTTTGAGAGATGGGTGGTGTGTGAAGGGGTTGTGCCCTTCAGCTTTTGATCTGTATCCCTTATGGTGAGGTGTCCTTGAGCACCTCACATTTTGCTCTTTACTGCTTTTGCTTCTCTTCTGCATAATGCCTGATTTTTGGGCATATTTTGTTCTCCTTGTACCTGAGATTTCTCCTTTTTCCCAGTTTTTCATATATTTTATTTTTGTTCTCCCTTTATAGTGGTGCATGTATGTATATACAAACATCTTGATGTGTTTGCATTTGGCCTTAGTGCCTTGTATTATATGCAAGAGATTTCTGTTTTAATTATTTTTATTTTTCTTCTTCATGGACCAGGATGAAGCTGTTAAGGAGGTTGTAGAGTTTATGAATGCTTACTCGATAAGCCAGGAGGATTTTGATACTGTTGTGGAGTTATCTAAATTCCAGGTAACTCTACTTCTTTTTCCATCTTCTATATAACATACATATTTTCTTTTTCTCATGTTTCCAACATACTCTTTTTCAAATAATTTGTGCTCAGGGGCATTTGAATCCACTGGAGGGCATTCCAACAGCTGTCAAAGCAGCTCTGACAAGAGCATACAATGAAGGAAGCAAAACGCGAATGGTACGAGCTGCAGATTTAGTAACTCTCCCTGGAATTAAAAAGGCCCCTAAGAAGCGAATTGCTGCAATTCTAGAACCATCAGATGATATATTAGGGGAGGAGAATGGTGACACATTGCCAGAAAATGAAGAGAATGCTTCAGATACTGAGAACTTGGGTAATAATTTGTGTTGAATATTGATTTTGATTGATTTCCCTTATTTTATAGCTGTTTTGCATTGCATTCATAAATTTCCCATCTTTCAATTGTCTGTTTAGCAAAATTAAGGTGGCACTTGTTTTTACCCGCTTTTGACCTGACAGCATCTTGCTAGAGGTCTCTACCATCTGATTCGAAGAAAAATAACTCATCAACAGACTAAAAAATAGAAATAGAAACATGCATGCCATTGAACCTACTAACGTGGCAGGGGAAATATGTTTTACTGCTTTCTGCTGAGTCATTAAAAATCCATTTGGTGGACAAGAACAGAGGATTTCCCATTGGATCAGGGAAAATTGTGATGCTATTGACATTAAAGTCAAAGAAGAAAGTTTCTAAGTGAGGGTATAGAAAGTCGTCTAAAATTGCATGCTTTTCTCCCACTGATCTATATGATCTAAAGTCTTGTATAAAGTCTTAACCATTTGGGTTTTCCTTTTTCTATCCATAAACCCCACTGTAGCTATCTATCATTGCCTAAGCCTTATCCCCCCTTGGTTTGAACTTGAGTTCTCAAATTGAAAGTCTCTTACACCCTCACACCCTTTCTCAAGGTATAAACTTGAGAGTTGAGACTTTCCTTTTGAAAGTCCTAAGCTCTAATAGGTTGGGAATATGGGTAACACAAAAGAAGTATGTTGTAACAAGTCTCCTAAGGACTGGGGTAGTTTTCTCCGAAAAGACAAGAAAAGGGAAATGTACACAGTTTTCTAGTTGTTATATTTACAAATGAATATCTGAATATGTACTGTTCATTAAGTAATTATGTTTTTGCCTTGCCTTATCTTTTGACACACCAGAAGACACTACCAATGGTGAGAAGTTGCAGGCGGAACTTCAGAGTCTGAATTCCAGAGGTTGTTGATATTCTCTCATCCTTTTGTTTTTGAATAGCAAGTGATTATTGTATAATAGTAAATTTGTTCCAATCTTACCAGTTAATTGTTTTTAATGCTTTGCCCTTCCCCCCCCCCAGGAATTGAAGTACAAATGGAGTTGAAAGGGACAGGAAACTCAAGTGCTAAGAAGGGGCTGGTTGGTCGAGGAAAAGGTGGGAAGGGATCTGCTGAAAAGAAAGGCGGGCGTGGTTCAGGGGCCGGAGCGAAGAGAAAAAGATGAGAAGTGAGTATTAGAGTGGACATTTTACAATTTTGGCAGCGTTTATAAGCAGTGAAAGTAAGCATGGCCTCTTGCTCTTAGGATTATAGGTGTTTCCTTGCTTTTTAGTAGTGTGGAGGAGAATATCATTCCTTTTCCTATGGTTTGATGCAAAAATATGTTTTGAGCTTTTTGAGCATGTTATGAAATGGTGGATTGCCCTTTGAACCTTCATTTTGGATGAAGGCATCTCACATTCACTTTCAATCAAAGAATCCAAGTCCTAGTGGGTGCTGCTGATTCTGCTATCTATTTTTGTATTCTCTTTGGGTATATTAGTTGGCTATGTATATTGACAACGTTCACCGTAATCAAGTGGAATGAAATATTTTACTCCGCATTTAAGTGGCTTTCATAATTTTTGTCCAATTTTGATTTAGGAGATAAATATGAGCAAAGAACAATGATTTAAAGTTTTTTTTTTTTTATATTAAAATTTTAAAATTTTGTTCTATCTAGTGTAATGTTTTTTAATGTCAAAAAGCTCAAAAAAATGTATAAAAAATAGTACAAAGTGTTTAAATGTAAAATGATGGTTTTGATTTTGAAGGATGGAGTGAATGTATTTATGTATACATAAAAACTAGACGAGTGTCCGTGTTTCATTGCGAAAAAGTTGTGTATCATGCTACTATCAACAAACGAGGAAGCTATCGACTCAAAAAGTCAGGTTGATGGAAGTTCAAATTTAAGCAAGTTTAGCTCTTCGTCTACATTTTGTGAACAATGTGAAAGTAGCTAAGGCTTGATTGAAAAATCTTACAAGGCGCATAGTCCATTGAAAGTTTAGATATTGATTTTATAAGGATTAATTAAAAAAATTCTTAAGTATTTATTATCCTCGTATCTTTTTAAAGTTCATTTGATAAAAAAATAAGTATAAAATTTAACTGTAAAAATAAAAGTAAATAAAGCATAAAAATATAAAGTTAAGTAAATAAGAAAATGGACAAGAAATGTTAAATATAATAGCTAAATCAAGGAAAAAAAACAAATTTAAAATAAAATTAAAGTGATAAAAATGCAAAATACAAATAATATTACAAAACCGAAAATTCTTAACTAACCTAGACTAAATTGTAACTTACAACATAATATGGAATCTAAATAGTAACAAGGTAATGAACTAAAGTTCAAAAATTACAAAATCAAGTAAAGAACTATAATAAAGACAAGTATGAAATTAAAATAATAATAAAAAAAAAAACAAGATTTAATATGAAAAGTGCTGAAAACTAATGCCAAAATCTAAAAATTCAAATGGATTGATGGAAAATGGAACTAAATCATGTAAAACTAAATGGATATAAGTTGTAAATTGAAAGAAACTCAATGAACATCATAAGATTTCAAATTAAAGAATAAAAGCTAAAGACAAATTGCGAGATTCAATAAAAGAAAGTAGAAACCAAAATTGATTTTGTAAGTTGGAAACTAACCATTCATGGAAAAAAATTAGATCTACAATTCTCTAGAGAGAATGAACTAAAATTGAACTAAAGCAACCTATATCTAAGAGTTATGTACCTAAATCAACAAGAAAAAAAAAAATTAGCTCAATGAACTTCAAAAACAGTGCAGAATATACAAAAACAGGACCTCATAAAAAAAATTAACCAAACAGCAATGAAAAGTATGAAATAAATTGTACAAAATGAAACTAAGAAAAGTAACAAGTAGAAACAAAGATTTAAAGAAAAAAGACTGTAAACAAATCACCAAAGTGGAGATACTTCAATGCTAAACTAGTTGCTTCAAAACTGAAATTGTACTATCACTTGCATAGCTTGAACTTCCAAACTTGATCTAGAATGCTGTGGAGTGAGTTTGAAATTGAATTTTTATTATGTTTTATCTCTAAGACTTATGAAACCATGAAAAAAAAATTGAGGAAAAACAAGCAAGCTTTGATAGAGATATGATCCAAAAACAGTAGGTAGGTCAAAGGAGACAAATTCAAAAATAGTTTTATATATCAATGAGAAATCAGTAGATTTGAGCTAGAGAATGAATTCAAATAAAAATTTTATTGAAAGATTCTTAAAGAGAATTGAAAAACACTTAAGAAACAATAAAATTGCAATGAAAATCAACGGTAAAAAGCTAGAAATAAAGTGTTTGAAAGTTAAGAATATATAAAGTGCATAAAAGAAAGTAAAGAAAAAATTTAAATTCTAAACTAACTCTCTCCAAATGACCAACCCTCTCCCCATATTTATAGGTAGAGGGGAGGAACTTAAGATCCTAAAAGAATTTTAGAAAGATCTCCAACTGACTGGGCACTTAGAGCTTTCTTCTTGGTACACAGCTAGTGCTGCAACATTGGTTCACGTTGGTTTGTTTGGCTCTTCAACAAACTTGTAATCCTTTTTCTTTCTCTTGTGTTTATTGCTTCAAGAAGTCAAATTAAAGACCAATTACAAATCTTGAAAATGCCACATCAACATCCTTTTCTTGGCTCTTGATCCAACTTGTGGAACCTAGTAACTTTAGTGCTCATCTCATGCACCATACACGTCCAAACATCTTGTGTCTTTCATATATATATATGTATATATTTGCAAAAGAAATTCCAAATGCTTTATGAACATTTTTATCCTATATTTTACTAAAAAAAATAATTATGAAAATAATACTAAAAAATAATGCAAGAAAAGTTAAGAAAACTCCTTTGTCAAATTTGTCTATTGACACTAATTTAGGCTATTTGCATAAATTACATAAAAAATCTTTCAAATTTGTATCAAAATCATCCAAAATTTCTCAATTTCATATTTATATCTACACATGAGATAAATGTGCATTTAGGAGTAATTTTGCTAAAAATCCTAAGGAACAAGCTAAAATATGAGTAAAATTGCACTAAAAATAAGCATGAAAAAGTTAAAATTTTAGTGCAATAAAATCCTCAAACTTAAGCTTTTACTTGTCCCCAAGCAAAACAAGATTGAGTAAGAATTATACTATACTCTCAATGCTTCATTCAACATGAATGCCTCATGAATTGAACAATAGGTATAACTAAAGCAAACTCATGAATAAGTGCTAAGATACAAGAATCTACCTATGCTAAGATCATTTCTAACTATGGTTCCACAAGCAAGTAACACTTCTCACACATCTTTGCATGAAATCTAATAATGTTAAAACATGAAACTTTAATAACAAAGATCAATAAAGTATGTTCATGTTCCATAACTTTGCTTATCATATCTCTCTCCATTAATGTAGATAAACACATGACCAAGAATCATTTAGGACTTTAATAGACTTGTAATATAAGGTTAGAGTTAAGCTATAATAAGTCATTTAGGCTCAAGTACCCTAACAATGCATCATATGTCAAGGATTATTCATCATTGAGCTCTCAAGGTAGAAAATGTAAGCTTGACTAAAGAATCATCCCCTCAAACTTTGATTTTGCCTATTTTTCTTTTTTTTTTCTTTTCCTTGCTTTTTCACCACTTTATTGTTTTTGCTTTTCTTTTCTTTTCTTTTGAAAGCTTGACTTTTTTTTCCTTTTTTCTTTTCATTCTTTTTTCAAGCTTCACCTTTTCTCCTTGATAATGCATAGCTCACAAGTGGTGCATGAATATCCTAATGCATTTATAAGGCAAATGACCAAAAAAATAAAAAATAAATGAATCAAGGCTATAGGCTTGTGATGTGGTTTCAAAACAAAGAAAATGATATCAGAACGATCAAATGGGGTGACTAGGAAAATATTATGTCAAGAATGACCTAAAAGGCTTAAACGAACCAAAATAGCCTATATCATCCCTAATCATGTGTCTTCTAGGATTTTACCACAAAAAATGATTAAAATAAATTTTAGAATCATGAACATAACTCTAAAGACTAACTAAAAAATAATCTCACACTCACATAATCAATATAGATAAAAAATACGATTCAATGTTCAAAAGCATTACTCACTAATGAATACCATATTCAAGAATTCACTAAACCTAAGTATCATCTCATATTTCACATCTAGTCAATATTTTCCTAAAGCTATATTCATTCTCAATCTCTACCTATCATTTGCTTCATAAAGAACTAATCAAAGAAAATATAATAATGATTCAAGCTACCATATGTGAAGTTTAATTTCAAGGCAAAATCAAGAATAATTCAAAATTTGTTTTTAAATTTTGAGTAATTTTCCCATACCCCCAAGCTTAAATAACACATTATCCTCAATGTATAAACAGCAAGCAATAAAAGCATAAAAAATAAAGGAACACAAGAACTCCCCTATTGACATGGAGGCATGGTGGCTGAATCTCCATTAAAGTTTAACCAAAATTAGTGCATCCTTTTTAAGTTCTTATTCAACCTATAAAACAAATAAAACCACTACACAAAAACACTTTATCAATATGTATAAGAAAATATAAGCAAAATATATGAAAACAAAACATGAAATATAAAGCTTGGGTAGCCTCCCAAAAAGTACTTTATGTAAAGTCAAAAGCTAGACTATCATTGGTGCTAAAAATCACTATACATTTCCTTTTTGAATCTACTCATTTCATTTTCTTCTTTTGCACCAAATGTGTAATGGTAAGCTTTGAGTGACTTTAGTACTTAAAGAAATATCTGTATCCCACCTTTAGGAATAATTTACACAAAAAAACTCCATCAATATGTATAAGAAAATATAAGCAAAATGTATGAAAATAAAACATAAAATATAAAGCTTGGGTAGCCTCCCAAGAAGTACTTTATGTAAAGTCAAAAGCTAGACTATCATTGGTGCTAAAAATCACTCTACATTTTCTTTCTGAATCTATTCATTTCACTTTCTTCTTTTGCACCAAATGTGTAATGGTAAGCTTTGAGTAACTTTAGTGCTTGAAGAAATATCTATATCCCACCTTTAGGAATAATCTAAGTATATTGCAATAAGAATCAACAGAGTTGGTCATTGGCTTCAATATCAACGAATAAAGTGCCATTATGGAGAATATGAGTTTAAGATCTAAGATGAAAAAGTCTTTTATGGATAGCATAATTGTACACTCAAAAAAGATTGTATCTAATAATGGAGTCAAGCAACTCTCATTATAATAATTAAATAGTGGGTTCTCAAAAACATACATTTCCAACTCACCATTTAATGGATTCTCAAAGAACCGAGCATATAGCATGATTATATTATGAAGTTCACTTTTTTAGTGATTAAGACCATTGCTAAGACCTTCCTACAACTCAGGATAGGGAATTGAACCATCATCTCCAAAATTCATATCATTGAATTTTTTCTCCATAAATTGTCTATCTAAAGGAAGCTTTAAAAATGATGTGTCTATAGCTGTAGGCATAAGATCAAGGAAGAGAAAAGTTATTAGACAAGTAAATTTTTTTCTAATGAGTTTTTTTTCATCCTTAAGCTTAA